GGTCAATCACATGTGTGGGAATGTTGACAGGCTCTGGTGGGTTTTAGCCGTGGATAAATAGTCTTAGTACTTGATGTTCTAGTCCTAGTTCTGATATATAATATGTATGTATTTACGGCACTATCATATATCAATTTACTTAAATATTAATAAAAGTCTGGGGCAGGAGCTACACCCCAAATATTAAAAAAAAAAAAAAAAAAGAATTTTACAAAATCTTTGATCAATGATATCTCAGCACCCACCTAATTAAATTCAATTAACTTTTTTTTTTTTGAATTCTACGGCTTTCTATAATTAAAATAAAAAAATGTTAATCGAATTTGGTTAGGTGAGTGCCAAAATATCTTTGATCAAAGTTCATAAATAATTTTGTAATAGCTTATATTTGATAGATGTTTTGAATTTTACAAAACTTTGATTGAAGATATCTCGGCTCCTACCTAACCAAATTTGATTAATTTTTTTTTATTTTAATTATAGAAAGCTGTAAAATTCGAAGAAAAAAATTTGATCAAAATTGATTAGGTGTGTGCCAAGATATCTTTGACCAAAGTTAAAAAAATCTAAAAAATTAATGTTTTATATGTGGTGTGGTATTATCAAAAAAGGGTGTGGAAATATCAATTCCCTATTTTTATTATTGTTATATAATTAGTAATTATACATTATAAAATATAGAAATTATTGCATAGGCCTTATATAACAACTTGTGCTTTTTTTATTACTTATTAGCACAGGATTGTTATACCAAACACTATACAATAACTATAGATTATAACACTTTTCAATTACTAAAAAATCTCTATTATATAATGCCCTCATAATTTTAAAAACTTATATCTGGAATACTAATAGAGGTGGGCAAATTTGTATCTATTGTGTAATTTTAAATTGACTTCTTGAAGTCTATTTTTCTGTTGCTAAAGTCATAATACCAGCAATTCATTTTATTAGTATTATTTTACTGATCTTATTTTATTTTATTAATAGATTATTTCACCAACAAAAATTGCACTAACCTTACTCTAATTTTAATTTGACCCTAATGATAATGATTATAATTAATTTGTCAGTGAAATGACTATTGACTATCAGTAAAATAAATTATCAGTGAAACAAACTATCAATAACAGATAATCTAAGTTGTCAAAGTTGGAGAAATAGCATTTTAAAAAGATAATCCTTGAAAATATAAGCAAAATGCTATTGCACAGGCTATAAATTAAATTAAAATATGTTATCTCTTAAAAATTCTGTACTATACTAAAAAAGGATATAAATAGCACTTGGAATTAAAATACCTGAGCACTAAAGCTAGATAGATAGCTTGTACTTGAAATATAAAATACTCAAGATAGAGAAATTGTTCTTAGAAAATATCTTATTACCCAGTTATATATATATATTGAGTAGTGCAATAATTACTTCACTAATATGTTATCTCACTGATTATTCACAAACAATTATTTTACTAGTAGTTATGTTTAGATTTAAAGAATTGTTGGTAAAAAAAACATTAATTGTCTGTAAAATTAGGTGTTGATGAAATGACATGTATTCATATCCCAGATAGAAACCTGACTAATTTAGAATCTGGTTGTTCTAATTTAGAATTGTCTTTTAAATTCTTGAACAAAGTATCTGGCTTGAAAATTAATACTGTAAGGTTAGAATTAGGACTAGCATATTTGTTTAATTATAATTTTTAAGCTAAATATATACCCTGTTTAAGAATTCTAAAGCTAGGTAATCAGATTCTGAATCAGGCAGATTTCAATTTGAAATACAACATATAGCTTATATGTTCTAAAAAATTTTTTAATTGAAATGATAACAGATTTCTCTTTAGCAATATTTATATCTTTATACAACTATAGTATATTTGTCTATATTATACAATAATTTGAAAAGCACAATATTATAACTATTACAAATCTTAATGAAATCAGATTAAATGAAATTATACTCATTTAATATAAACTTAACCTCTAACTCTAAAAAAATTCAGTAGATTGTCAATTTTTATAATATATATTTCATTTTAATCTGATTTCATTTAATTTGTCACACAAATTTAAAAATGGATTAACTAATATACAACTCTTTTTAACAATTACTAAAACCAAATTTTCTCACTAATAGAAAAACAAATTTTTTGGTGGAGAGTTGTGGCCTACGTTGCGGTTTGTCTAGAGGTCAATATTATTTGCTTTGCGAGACTCCTCTAATGAGACATTTGGCATGCAAGCCAAGAGCATTACTATACAAGATAACTGGCAAGAGACACTCTTGTATATAAAATCTTGGTGGAGTGTAGACAAAAAGCTCAACTTCATTGACGAAGTTTCTAGATCATTACTTCAAAGAAGAACACAGAGGAAACAACAAAACTTTTTCTTTTCTAAAGCCACACTTTTTTTTGGGGGTTTGGTGACTTCTCTCTTTCTTTTTCTCGCTCTCCTGTTGGTCTTTCAAAATTTTTTACAAAAAGTAGAGATTTGGCTTATCCCTCCAAAAGATCGGCATTGTTTACTTTCCAAATTCAGACGGACTCAGTAGAATGCAACCACATGACTTGTTTATTTACAAATACGGTGCTACTTCGGAGAAGTCAGATTGGGCCTCCGGTTAAAGAGATATCTGAAAGCGGTTATAAGTTAGAAGAACTTTTAACATTAAAGCAAAGCTTTACAATAGAGATATATAATTGTTGCATTTGTTATATAATTTTTTAGCTTTGTACAGGTTATAATAGTGTATCCTTGTTACGAAGAGAGGTGCAATCTCTCTTAACTTTTTATCCTTGTTCTATAAAAATTTTTTTTTTATTTTTTCCTGTTTTTTCTTTTTGGGGTTTTTTTTATTTTTTATTTACTTCGCTCTTTCCCTTTTCTCTCTTTTGTTCATTTCCCCTTTTTAGTTATAGTTTGTTTTTGTTTTTTATAAAATTTTTTTTTTTAGATAATTTCAGTCATCTGTGATCTGGTAAGATGGAGTTGCAATTTAGGCCTGAGCTAGGTTTTCGCACCACAATATGGAACTGAGTAGTGCCGAACTTTTATCTTTACATTTCTATGTATTTATATTATTATAAATATTAATAAATAAGATGAGTTACGGCTAGACCCGTTGACAATCTAAAAAAAAAAAAATTTAATTTGTCACAATAACAATTGCAATTTGCAAATTTTGTTATTTATATCAACAAAAGAATAAAAATAAAATACCTTCATCATTTTCTTTGGCTACAACATAGTCATATTTTAAAACTTGCATAGTAGGATATATTAGTGACAACATGCAATACTTTTGGCTACTAAGCCATTCTGTTGCTTCTTCGATTGGTTTGAGAAGTTCAAGTAAATAATTAAGCATGTCCTATTTCCAATATTTCAAGAACCATTTTTTTAATATTTTATAATCTTTTTTTGCTTCTTTATTAGTTTTTAAAGAAAGCTTAAAAATAATATGCTTTATAGAATCTTTTAAATTTTTTAAGCACTTCCAAGAAGCCAAAAAAGATCTCTACTAAGTATTACATTCATTGATAGTTCTTACAATTTTTAAAGGAATTTAAATTGCTGCTTTATCTATTTCTTTATCCAAAGTTACATTTGATAAATTTTAATTAGATGGATCTTGATTAGCTTAAGCTAAAACTGAACTATTTGGTACATCTTGATTAGCTTCTAGATCTTCATATCTTGATAATAATTGATGTTGTGCTTCTTCTAATCTCTCATTTTGTTTAGAAGAATTAAAAAAACTACTTAATTTTTTGTATCTTTTTGTATATAGCTTAATTTTTCACAATGCTTTATTTATACATAATTAAAAAGTATGTGCTGAGTATGGTACATGCTTAACATTTTCCACTCACGAATTGCCTTTACTATATTGAAACCATTATCAGTAACTGCTACTTTAACTTTATCAATTAAATCTAAAGATGTAATTTTAGAAATAATAGTATTACGAATGCGATTACCAGTGTAAGAATATTTAAAAAGTTCAATACAAATAAGTATATCAAATAACTCCATATTATTATTTAACTAATAACAGATTATTCTGATATACTCATCTTTTGTATATGAAGTTCAGAGATTTGTTATTATAGCTGTATTATTACAAGATTTACTAATTAATTCTTTCATTGCCTAAAATGGTTTATAATATCCAATATTTAAATTTTTTTTAATAGTTCTATAACATGATAAACGAAATGCTGGATCAAATTTTTTTATTATTTTTTGAAATTCTAATTCATTTATTACATTAAAAGATTGAGAATTTGTTATTATTCAATCTGTAACAGTATGTTGTAATTCAGTTTGTTTTAATTCTTTATGCAGTATTATTTTCTTTAATTGATTATCAATTTTTATTTGTTTTTAAAAAAATAAAGATATGTATTAGTAAAAATATTAATATAGAATAAACTTATTAAAATTATAAATTAAAATTTGCTTACTAATTTCTTTTCATATTTTTTATAAACAGACCCCAAATAATGATTTATACTGCTAGTTTGAGAATTATAAACACAGCTCTATCTATATTCTATTGCTTTATCCTAGTCTATAATATATCTACAGTAAGTATAGCCATCAGTTTTTACTCCAAAGTGCTTTCAAACCCAACTAGTTTTATTATTTCTGATATCAATCCATTGAGGCCCTTGCTTTTCAGAGAGCTAATCATCATTATTATTACAATTTTTCTTATTTTTGTACTGAAAGAATAGTGTCGAATTCTTATGCTTTTTTAAATTAGACATTTTAAAAGCACTAAAGTTTGCCAAATACCAGCATAAGAATTGAATTCAGAATTTATATATGCTATATTTTTAGTTAATAGTAGATTAACAGATTAAAAAAATAGTTTAGTATATGCTTACAATGTCTTGCAAGCAAAAGAAAATAATAGCTCCTAAACTTGATTGATAATTATAATAACAAGATTGGCGGTGTAAGTTTAATTTAATGCACTGCCTGTTTTAAAATTATAACAAGTACCAAACTAGATAAAAAAGCATTTCATATATATATACATACATATATAAAAAAAAATTCTAACTATGTACATTATGAAAAAATAATTTCTAACCTTTTTCTCTTTCAGTAAAACCTTGCCATTTTCGTATTAGATGCAGATTCTTTAAAATTAATTAACCTGCTAAAAACATCTAGCTGATGTTATGCATCACTAATTTTAAATACATAAGGTAAATAGAGATAATTTGGCAAAGTTAGTAAAAATCCCACATAACTTGTTATTTATTAGTTCTGGCTAAATAATTTTAGTACTATTCAATTCGTCTCATTGATATAAATCGAATAGTACTAAAATTATTTAATTTGGATCACGGAGTCACAAATTATTAACAATTGTATACAACATGAATTGGAAAAGAGTATTGTGGCGAATATGAGTAATTTGGCGAATTGTAGACATATATCATAATCTTGTGAATAAAATCAAATATTTTTATTACTATTCGATTTGTCTTATCTAGACAATTCGAATAGTACAAAAATTGGTTGATTGTAATCACAGGTTTATAAGATATTGGCATCCGAGTGTGTCCAAATATAATGTATTAACTTCTTTAAAAAAATTTAATATATTATATTCAGATATTAATATCTCGTGACCTAGTAATCGAAATTAAATGATTTTTGTACCATTCGAATTATTTTGATGAGACAAATCAAATGGTAGTAAAATTGTCTAATTTTGACCAAAGGATCCTGAGATTTTGCAATTTACCAAATTACTCCTATTCACCAAATTAATCTGTTTACTTTATATATATTCATATTTTCAATGAAGTTTGTATTAGTCATATTTGGCTAGGTGGTGTCTAATATATAAAATATTCATGTTTTACCAACACCACTAATATTCAATATTCCAACAGCGAGATCTATCTTAATAATAGATTTATACCTTTGCGTTCCTTTACATTATCTATATTAGTAGATTTTAAAATATTCATTTTTTTGATTTTGATTCCTTCTTAACAACAGCTAGTAAACTAGCAACATTCTATAAACTGGAGCTTAATTATTGGTCTATAAATATTGGAATTATTGTCAAAGAATTAAGCAGTAATGGTAAGCCTAATTTGGGTATACAAGAGTTACCCTTTTGTATGTTTATTTATTTTCTCTATCCTTTTTATAATACTTTATATTTCATTATTTATATCATCCCTTAAATTTATATATCACTTTTTATACTACATTATACTTTTCTATTTTTAATTAATTAATAATATGATTTTTCATCATCGATTACTAAAATTACACCATATTGGCACCTGATCCTAACTCTTATGACCTTCTGATACTGTTGTGAGATACCTATATCACATTTTCTATCTTTTATATTACTTTTTGCTAACCTGATCTTTTTTTTTTGAATCTATGTGACAAATATTTAAATTTAGAATTTAATTTACTTTTTTTAAACAATTAACATATTAAATGCATGGAGTGGCCGCTCTAGCAAATTCTGTAATTATATGTATTAGAAGCACTTGGATCATATCTTAAATAAAATCATATTAAAAATTTTTTTAATTGATCAAATATATATTTATTTGATCGATCAGTATTATTGATCATTGATTGACCTATTGTTGCTCGAGCCTATTAATTGGTGCTCAATCATTAACCTAAGTCGATCAATAATCGAGTATTATATAATCGAGTCAATTCACTAGTGGTGAATAATACCCAGGTCTTAATTACAGGAATATTATTTTTGGAGGATACTGTATACAGTGGCCAATAGTAGTATTAAGAGATTATCAGATTTAAAAACATTATAAACTATTAGATTTATACTAATTTTTTATCAGATTTAACAGGTTATCAATTTTGGAAGAGTCAACAATATATAAAATCTGAATTTAATAGTTAAATCTGGATTTGCTCAAATTCAGATTATCATTTGGATATACAAAATAAAATCTGAATTCAATCTAAATGGTCTTTTAAAAATAGAATCATAACACTAATAAATATAACTATAAAAAATAATTATAAAAATTAAACTATCTATATTATTTGCTAGAATTTAATTAGCTAGTTTAGTATCAGATAGGGAGAGAGTACTAGGGTATCTAGAATTATGCAATATGAAATTATATATATAATTTATTGTTTTTTCGCATTATATATACTTTGCATAATTGAGAAAAAAGACATAATTGCATATGGGTAAAATATGATTGGTAAAAGTAGTGTTTAACAGGTAAAAATTTTAAAAACTCTCGATACAGAAAGTTTAGAATATTCTGAATATTTTGCATAATTGACAAATTTAAATAAGAAATTGTATAATTCGCATCTATCGCATAATTTGACTTTGATTGTATACATAATTTACTCTGTCATATCACATAATTCTGGATACCCTAGAGAGTACCCTCTTAAGAGATGAAAATTACCTGATAAATATCTATACTTTTATATAATAAAGTATAATATATTGATTATACTAAATGGAACTATACTAATACAAGTGTGTAATTAAGTAGTATATCTGCAGAATTTTTACAAAAACTTGTAAAAAATTAATATTGGTTTTAAAATTAGCAAATAATGTTTTTAAAACATGTTCAAAATGTTTTTTTCTCACAATAGGTTTACAACTAATAATTATTATGTTATAATAATATTTTTTTAAAAAAATATTATTATAATATTATTATAATACTATAATTACTAGAGGTGTAGTAACTTAGTATAGTAGTCTAGTCATTACCTTCTCCAAATAGCAGGTCTAGAGTTCAAATCTTACTGACAATGATATTTGAAAAATAGGCCTATGTTCGGTTGATGGCTATACTTATCAGTTGAATCTAGAACTAAATCTGTAATTTTGATTATACCATCTTGTAATGGGAGCTTTGGCACAATAAATCCAAGAAACCGGCATAACCAAAAACTCATTTGAGAAGTCCCAAATTTGGATATAACAGTGATCTTTAACGGTATCACAGGAGAGCTGAATTTGAACCAGGACCCAAGATCAGAGAACCAAGTGACCAGGTCCTATAGTGAAGGACACACTAGCTGAACCACCGGGTTGTTGCACTAGAGGAAAATGGCATATGCTCTGAAAGTATAAACCAAGAGAAGAGCATCCTTTAGGCACCTAAAGCCTGAGCAGACCAACCTTTCTGAGTTGCCGGCTAGAAGTAAGGAAGAAACTGATAAAGAATCCAGATAAGAAGATGGTTTCAAATATGGGTACTGAGATTGTTGTGAACTGTTAAGAGCAATAAGTATATAATAGAAAACTAATTAGGAAGGTTGTAGCTTGAAATACAGATCGAGTTACAGCAGTGTTCTAAAGCAGGGTTGGCAATGGACTATAATAGGTTCTGAATAAATTGTCAATAGATATTGTCTATTGGGCCAATGGACATAGTCTATTGGCATTTGCTAAGCCATATTTTGGTCCATTGGCCAACCTAGCTCTAAAGAGTAGCTTGAAATATGAACTCGGTGTCGGCAGCATAACAGATACTAACTAGGAAGATATTATAAAATATACAAATAAATGTATATGTGGGATATATATCACTCTGTTGGGCTTACCTTTGAGGATAGTAAAGTGTTCTAAGTTGGCTGTTTATGTAGTAGTATTACAAAATCTATATTTGAATAGTAAGTTACACTCGCATTAAGATAGGCATCAGGTCAAATATGTTAAGACTAGAAGGTTTAAATAGGTACCCCATAGTTGGGGTACAGGTATGACAGAAAGTATAAAACTCTTAGCATAGCGCAACTGCTTTGGGTGAACTACTTAAATTAGACACCAAAAGTGCACGTGTTGCTTGATGTATTTTCAGCAAAATGTATAGTGTCTGAACTTGATTTAATAAAAATTGCTAACCAAGAAGGTCTTTTTTAATTAATACTATAATTACTAATTAATAACTTGTTGTCAATTAGTAATAATTATATTATAATAATGTTTTTAGGGTTAGGGTCCTGTAGCCTAGTAGTTTGGGCACCTAACTCTCCACAGACAAGGTCAATGGTTCAATTACAGCTGGTGGTAATAGTGCTTGGATCCGGATTACAAAATCCAGTTGTATCTGGATATAAAAAGGATAACAGATATTATTTTTGATAAGCGGATAATAAATCTGGATTTTTATTTTATATTTATAAATCTGATTTTTTATCTGGATATTATATGTCAATCGATATCAGCCAATCAGAGAACTTCAGCATGACTTTGATTTTGAATCGTTGTTTTTTAAAGTAATTTCATATATTATTTTGCAAAGGTAATAATATAATAATCGAAAGAAACGATATTATAAGTGTGGTATAGTTTTTACTATACCTCTATTTAATATATATACATAATCAAATTATTATAAGTTCCATAGTTTAAATACGTGTTTTACTTCTGATTGAAATCTACCCGATTCAAACCCAATTGTCATAATTCAGAATAGAGCTATCTGATTTTGAATTATTAAGTTACCCGGCTTAATAATATATAATTAATTAATATATTAATTTTAATTTAATATTAATCTTATTTTATAAACTGGTCAACCTGCTTAAGGATTCTAGAACGGGATAACCTGTTCTAGATTCTAATTCAGGGTATGAATCTAATTTTATTTTAACAAGGATTGGTGATATAAATTCGCCATGATGATATATTATAACCAGATATAAACCAGATTAAAAACTGGATAATTTAATAATATCTGTTTACAAATTCGGATTAAGAGAATTAAAACAGGATATCTATCTGAATATCCGGTTAGATATCCGGATCTAAACACTAGGTGGTAATTAATTTAATTAATTATCTCTGTAATTTTCGGGAGCTTTCAAATGCGAAACTCTGTAGCAGTAAGACCATGTGATATATATATTTGGCCGATAAAGAATTCTTGGAAGGAGCCCTGAGCTATGAAGAAGTCTGGGCACTGCATATAATATGGGTCGCAGAAGGTAATACTGCAGAAGGCTGTGCATGTGAATTTACAATTGGCAAGGTAATACCAACAACAAGGCGGCATTGGGATCTTGATTGGGAGGATGGCTAAATGTGATATATCCAGAAGTAGTGAGAGAAGCAGTGAACATAGCAAGGAGCTGTGGTAAGAGAATGGTTTTACTAAATATAGAACACCTCTGGCACAAGGAAACAAGAAAAACTGGCTAAAAGAAACTCCAAAAAGTATGAAAGCAAGTGATTCAGTAGTATGAAAATAAAGACAGGCTAAAGAGTAATAGTTGCACAACCTATATGGGAGTCTATGATAAAACATAGCAGAGGTGCAGGTCCTAGGTTACTAAATTGTAACAGTAATTAAATGAGGTACTTAACTTCAGTTCTAAGGATCCAGACCTCTGTATTACTATACCAATAGGGAGTACTATAGAAAGATTGATAGACTAATTTGGTGGTATATGACGTTAATGCTTGAAGATTGTGAAATAATATTCTGGTTGTGGCAGCAGGTCTCGTACCTGGCTTGAGATACGAACTAGGCTCTTAGAGTAACATTCCGAGGACACCAAACTAGAAGCACCAAGAGCGCCCACTTAAGAGACACCAATTTAGAAATGGTACAAGAAGCAAATTAGAAGTAATATGATAAGTAACTAGCGCATAAGACCCGGCGTTGCTCGGGTTCTAGCTTTTAATTTTTTGCTAATTCTTAGACCTCAATAAATTAGTTTTTAGAACTAAGTATTGTTAAAATTTAAGTTTTTAATTTTTTGTTAATTTTTAAATTTAAACTAAAAATCACTATCAAATATTAATATAATTTATAAAAAATGATGATTTTTTATTTTATATACAATTAATTAAAAATTAATACTTTTGAGACTATATACAAACTATATATATACAAAATAAAATTATAAAGTAAAAACTTCTTTATATACAACGTTTTTAGTATATACACCATCTTTTCTTTCTACATGCTCATTTTTAATTAAGACTTTAATTTTATCTTTTGATTGAACTCTTGATAAAGCAACATATAATTGCCCATGTGTAAAAACTGAGTTGGGCAAATATAATCCCATATTAGAAATTGTTTGATCTTGTGCTTTGTTAATTGTCATAGCAAAAGATAATTTAATAGGAAATTGTTTTCTTATTAATTGAAATGGAAGATCAGTATTACTTGGTGTTAATTTTGCTCGAGGTATAAATATTTCTTTTCCTTGATTAATTCCTGTTAAAATTTCTGCATATATAGTATGTTGATAATATTTTTTAATTATTAACCTTGTACCATTACATAATCCTTCAGCTGGATTAAGATTACATAAAAGAATAACTAGTATATCTTCTTTTAACACTAATTTATAAGGTGGCATTCCACTTGGTGTTAATGTATTTAAAAATTCAATTGGATAAAGACTTTGATCAATTTGATCTTTATCCTCAACAGAATCAGCAGAAAGATATTTATATTCTTTGTTATCAGGAATAATATTAAGAATTTGCTGATTAATTTCTTCAACATCAATATTTTTTGTTGATAAAATTGCTCTATCCTTAATATAGCTTTTATCTTGATAATTTGCACTAATATTATTAAAGATCTCTGATATTAATTTGCTAGAATCTTCACTATTAAAAACTATATCATCTGATAGTTTTATAAAATCTTTACCAATATCAGGATGTACTAATATTTCTCCTTCACCAACTTGTAATAAAAAATCAGCAAAATCTTTTGTTCAATATTTTGTTGTTAAACTCTCATATTAATTGTTAATTTTAAACTTTTAAAATATCTCCAAAGTTTAGAAGATTTCAAATATGCATTAACAATTTGAGGTTGTGTACCTCGAACTACAACAGGTAAAATTTGTCTAAAATCACCACCAAGAATCATAACTTTGCCTCCAAAAGGTTCATCATAATTATTTAATAAATCTTTAAAGAATCTGTCAACTGCTTCAAGTGCATGTCTATGTATCATTGGTGCTTTATCCTATAAAATAACCTTAGCAATTCTAATTAACTCAGCTAATTCTGATTGTTTTAAAATATTTAATGAAGAAGTTTTAGTTAATTTTAATGGAATTTTTAATCTTGAATAGGCAATTCCTAATGATGCTATAGCAATTGCAATTCTATTTAACTCTTTTTCTGATCTTATATAAGCCAAGATTATATTATATAAAAATATTTTTCCAGTTTCTTCAGGTCCATCAATAAAAAATAATTTTTAATTTCTTTTTCCTTTAATTGCTTCTATAACAATATCAAATATTTTTTTTTGCTCAATATTTAATTTATCACAATCTTGTAATATTTTTTCAATTTCATCTTGGTTATATTTTGTTCGTCAGCAATTAAAGGTTGTTGTTGGTTTTTTTCTAATAAACTATAATTAGGTTTTGGAAGTTCTGGAAAATTAGAAAGACTTAATCTGTTTTGAATTAAATATTTTTCAATAAATACTAATAGTTTTGTAATATTTAATTCTTTACTATCTTCATTTTTATCATAATCTTCAGTTAATGCATCAAAATATTTATCTCAAAGATATTTTATATTTGCAGGTTGACAAAATACCAAAATAGAAATAAATAATTGTCTTAATTGTGAAGGCATTTTAAATATTTCTGCTTTAAATAAGCAAGAATCACATTCATTATCATCATCTACTAATCCATGTTGAATTGCTGCTTCTTTATAAGTATTATATGTTATTTCTTCTATTATTTTTATATCTTCAAATCCTTTAGCACCAGGAGTTATATTCAATAATATTCTTAAGTAAAATCTTTCTTTATTTTTTGGATTAACAAAATGCATTCTAGAAATTACTTTTTCACCACCTTTTTTTCTTCTTTGCCAATTATTATTTTTCCAAATATAATATTTTGGAATATCTATATATTTTAAACTTTGAATCTCATTATTATCAAGATTATTATTACAAAGATCAAAATATCTTGTTAACTTTGTATGTTTTCCTTTTTTAAGAGTTGTTGATATATTACTATCTTTTTTAAAAAGAATATTTTGTTAACTATCTAAATGAACTGGAAGTCTTTCAACTTTATGAAATTTTTGTTGTAAACCAAAATTAAATAATCTCCAGATTTCTTCAGAAGCAGAAACATATTTTGCATTTATAAATTTTTTAATTTCATTTTTTGGATTTACTAATGAAATTAAAATTCTATTTTCTCCTTTGTAAATATATTTGTAAAGATATATTAATATGACAATTATATTTTTGACTAAGTTATGGATTATAAGGAACAATCTATATATTGTCAATAGAAATTGTTTTTCTTTCTATTTTTATTTTAATTTCTCTTTTATTATTTCTTCTTCTATATGTAGGATATCCAGATTTATTTGTTGTTGTTGTTTTAGCAAATTCTCTTGGATAATGTTTACTACATTTTCCATTAATCATACATGGAGATAATGGATTTTATCTCCGCAAGGTCCATGAATCATACTTTTACTAATTGTTTCAAATAATTTTGGTAGTTTATCTTTATCAGGTATTTCAGCAGATACTATTTGGTCAAAATCTTCTGGAGTTTTTGGTTTATCTTCAGGTGCCAATATCATTAAAATATGTGCATGTGGCAACCCTCTTTTTTGAAACTCAATTACATGTACATGAGCAATAACTTTTCCAAAAATGCCTCTTACAAATAAATCATAAGTTATTGCTTCTAATTTTAATTTGAAAACTCTTGCAATTAAATCTGGTCTATCAGAAGGTTTTTGATTTGATAAAAGTTCACTTATAATTTCAGGCCATTTTGGATTGCAAGTTACTGTAATAAATAAATCAGGTTTTCCAAATTTTCTAACAATTGCCATTGCATCTTGGTATAATTGTTGAAAATATCTTGTAGATCCTGTAAAACTTGATGACAATATTATTTGGTTACCAACTTGATTTAAATCAGCATCTTCATTATAAATCATATCATTTAATCCATGATATGTTTCAGTTCTTAATTTTGCTTGATTCTTATATTGCCAATTTAAATTATTTGTTTCTCATTTTACATATTGGTCTACTATATATTGTTGAAATAACCTTCCAGCACGATGTAATATACTACTTGTTCTGTTTGAGTCTCTAATCATAAATCTATATACCGCAAACTCTCTAATAGTTACTGTATTTCTTTTTTTTTTTTGTTGAATATTTGATGATTCTAAATCTTCTTTATCAGATTGTTTAGATTGTTCAGATTCTGAAGTAGTATTATTATCATAATCATCATTATTATCAGTATCACTATCATTATTTTCAGATTCAACAATTTTTTTATATTTTCCTTTATCTATTTTTTTTTGCTGAGTTTTAGATATACTACTATTATTATCATCCTTTTCTGATTCAGTTTGAGATTTAATATTATCTTTTTTAATTCAATTTGAGATTCAATTTCTTCTTCTATAATTTTTCTTCACTAAGTTCACTAATACTCATACTTTTAGAAAATTTAAGAGCTATATCATCAAAAATACCTGATAAACCTGAACTTCTTTGTAATAAATTGTCAAATTCAACAGACATTGTTTTTGAAGAGTCATCAACTTCAATAATTTCTTTTTGTTGAATTTCTTTTTGTTGACTTTTTTTTTGTTGAATATCTTCTTTAGCCTCTTGTATATAATTATTAATTCTTTGTCGCCAAAATTTGCTTAATTGATCTTTAGTTATGCCTACAGTTAAATTTGAATTAAAATCTTTAATAATATTTGTAGCAACTTGATTAGCAATTTGATCTTCTTCATCTTCTTCA